ATTATTAATAAGCGATGGGGATTTAAACTTAAGTCCGTTAAGATTAATGTAAATTAACTGAGTTACAGATTTATAGATTGTGGGTAATATCAGAGCACCCAATGGAATAAATCATGCTGTCCAACACACTTATATGCGTACATATCTTCATACATATATATGTAGATTAACATATCCATACATATATGCCACTATACGTACACATACACCGCCACATATATGTACATGTATTCTTATGTAACTTGGAATTTGTTTCTTTGTCTACATTCGTGATTAGTTCTCTCTGTTGATTTAATAGTTTGCATTGATCTTTATATTTTATTATCCTGATTTTTTCTTCTAAACATAGCTTGCTCCTTGTCCGCACAACCTATAATTTTCCAATTTATTTGATGATTCCCAAAATTTTTTGAAAGGGCTTTTTGGTGTTTTAATTTTGGATTAGTGAATGAATGTCTACACTATTTACATTATTATGTCTACACTATTTACAGACTATTGTCTTCATCTTTGTCGCCATATTTATTACATTGCCTTCTTCAGGTGGTTGGAATGTCGAACTGAACCCTTTATTTCGCTCACTGGAGTAGACTGTTCTAGTTCCACGTGCCATATGTGATGGATGTTAGTTATCTCCTGTTAATTTATCCACTGTGCCATGTGTCCTTGAGGACATCTGTGTATGAATTTCTGGGTATTAATAATGTCTTCAGCAACCATTTTTACCAGTGCTCATACTGAAATTTTAGCTGTTATCATTACATGTTTTTTACCAGAGCTCACATTGCAATTTTTGTTGTTATTATCGCTTTTCTCTGGCACTCCTTATTACTGGTTCCCATATTGTATTCATTTCTATGCTTGGTCGGCTTAGGAAATCTGTGTGGCCTAGCATATGTGCTGATTCCTTAAGTTTACGAATTTTCCAATGATGTTCTTTGTCTATGATATCAACTTCATCCCACAGAGGACGGTGATCTCCCTTTTCTCTCCATATGTGGTCAGCCACGCCTGATATTTTCACTTCCCTTCGTGTTACAGCTTTCTGGTGTTCTTAAAAGGGTGGCCTGTCGTCCCGCTTTTGAAGGTTGTCCTGATGTTATATGGATCGCAGATCCTTTGTATTTTCTACTGGACCTTCGATACAGTTCACGATGGAGAAAGAAAGTAACAACACACTCCTATTCCTGGATGTTATAATATCTCGAACAGAGCATTAGTTCAAGACATCCGTATACCGTAAACCGACATTCACCAGACATTACCTCAATTTCAACTCCCACCATCCATACAGCGTAAAGAAAAGGATCGTCCGCTGCTTACAACATCTGATTCAGGTACTGAATCAATGTCTGTGTGTATTGATTCTCTTTTAAAATTCTCCTGCAGTAATGCCGATGTAAATATTATGGTTTGTCGTATTTTCTTTAAGTGTTACCTGGTATATTACCCTAGTGGATCTGCATTTTTCCTCTATTGGGCAGTTTTCCTTATTTCTACAATTACAGGGGGTTTCCATGTTAGATTTTTTTTTTTTTTTCATGGAATTTACTTAAAATGTAATTGTTATGGGAATTAATACTTTGGTACATATTATCAGTGCAGGAGTAGCTAATTTTGATGGATTTCATGTTGAATATCTTATTTAGAGGTTTTTTTTTGGGTTTTTTTTGTTGAAGTGTTTAGTAATAAAGTTTACTAGACAGTTTGCAGAAGCGGGGTGTGAAACAAAGTGATTTTTCTTTTCCTATTTTTACACCTACATTCCACTTTTCGTGGATCGGTATTACTAATGTTGGTCGCGTAAGACACTTTACTTCTGAAACTACTTTTTTGGAGAGCCTTTTCGTATAGTTCTTTATTTTATTAAAGATTTTTTTCATTGGACGATAGTTTACTAATCCTGGTACAAATGGTAGTGGGTATTACACTGGGTTGGTTAGAACCGATATTAATATAGTCGGAGGTTTCGTTCTCTTTATGGTATGGTTTAAAGCTTTCATCATTAAGGTTAAGAGTGATATCTAGGTAGTCAACTATTTATCTTAAACCCTAGGAATTTGAAGGCCCTGATAATTTTCTATTGTAATTTCGCTGTTAGTGGGTCATTACTATTAGGGATGAAGATGAGTCCGTCATCCCGATACAGTCCTATTAGTTCCGGTTTTACGATTCTACTTTGCACATCTAAAATGTAAAAACATACTGGGTCTGCTGAGTCATACGCTCCCGTGTAGACATCGAATTCGTCATTGTGGCGCTTAGTCCATGTGGAATTATTCAGTGTTAACATTCTGGAGGCGGTTGTTATGAACTCGTCTCACCTGACTCTGTGTAGATAAAAGGAGTTGAAACATAAACTGGCACACTTCGGCGAGTCTTTGTCTTGTTCTGGGCAAATTTAATTTTTTTCCTTTCCCCTCCCCCTTGTCTCACTTAATTCTAATGCAAGGAAGTTTGTTTTCTTTCCATAGTTTTTTCTTAATTCCGAAGATTTTTCTTATGACGAATACTATTTAGTTGGTGTGGTACTAAAATCTTAAAAATCTTTTCACGCACACACACACATATATATATATATATATATATATATATATATATATATATATATATATATATATATATATATATATATACTTAATAAGCTCTATTAATACAAGAAAGTTTATTAAAGAGCAAAAGAAAATTAATTTTAATTTGGTTTTTAAAATTCTTTTGCCCAGAAATATAAGATATGAGTAATGAAAGCCTGATCGGTGACTGATTTATGTATTCTCCAACGGTGATAGAAGTGTGTGATTGATCCGAGGAAATGTTGATTCCAGTTTTTCAAAGCTGCCAACTTGGAAGATTGGCACAAAGCAATATTTCCATTTCCTCACGTCACGTGGAATGAATTAAACTATTTTAGTAAATATCTATGTAGAAAAATTCTCATTAACACATACATTCACACACACACACGCACACAAATTATATATATATATATATATATATATATATATATATTATTTCAGACCTCAAGCAATCTTAAGATTCGTCTGAAGATTGCTTGAGACATGAAATTGTCATGCAGTATGGAGTGTTCGTGCCTATACCACAATTTGTACGTATTTATGTATATACAGACTTATTTACGAACACATATATGGAAAAAGGTATGCATGCTTGCGATTGTTGTGATTGTTAAAGTTACTTCAAATAAACGCAGATCAACATAACTGAAAATAACTGAAATATAGACATGTGTATGGGCGCGCGTGTGTGTGTGTGTGTGTGTGTGTGTGTGTGTGTGTGTGTGTGTGTGTGTGTTTGTGTGTCTGTGTGTGTGTGTGATTACAAGTAAGGTTTCAAAATAGAATTACTATTAACTAACCAATATGGGTAATGTTAGTATTAACCTATCCAGTATTTGTAATATTTTCAAAATCCACTTATATTTATTCGAAAATATACCACGTCAGTTCCAGCTTATATCTGTATTGATTTGGTGGTGTGAGAGTTTATTGTGCAACACGAGAGTCTAGATAAATATATGAAGTATTATAGTTACTGATATTTTGAATTTCAAATTATATAAAGATTTCTAGGGTCGTAAAAAATATCTCACTAAAGAAATATCTCACTATAAGTGAAAACAATTACTGCAAAATTATTGATCGATGAGAACAGAGCAGTGGAAAAATGAACAAAGATCGCAAAACAATTCAAAATGAAATTTTGGCAATATTGGCAAAATAGGAAAAAACTCTAGCTTAAATGATGCCACAAAAATGAAATTTAAGAAAAATTAAAAAGGTAATAAGCAAAATAGTGAACTGACCAGCAAGAAAATATTTGAAGTAGCTGGTAATGCAAAAATAAACAAAGACAAAAGATCCAGAAAATTTCCTCCTTTAAGTAAACATCACAAGAGAAATGTTGAAGTTGTGAAAAGAAGTAAATTTCAAGTGTATAACTATACTAGACAGACCTGATAGCTGAGATAAAAAGTGTGTGTTTCTATAAAAGTAGCCAACTAATACGATTTAGAAGACAACAGAGTATTGTAAGCAGTAAAGTCTCTTCAATGCTGATGACGCTACCATTTTAAATGTAAGGAATTATAGTAAAATTATGAGTGATACACAAAACATTTTTAACTCAACTAAACTTGAAGACAATGCTCCTTCACATTCTGTGAAGTTGACTATATTTTACCTTCCCAAAAATGATTTTAAATACACAACCTTAATGGAATGCCCACAGGCTCTGCAGAAACTAATCGGATAGAAAACGTGTGATTCATCATTAAAAGAAATGTATATGAGAATGAAAAACAGTATTCAAAGAAAGAACATCTCTGAAAAGCAATAAAAAATGCTGCAATAATATTAACATAGAAACAATAAAGAAGTTAACAAAATCCATGATGACTGTTAAAGAATGTCAATGAGCCCATATTAATATGTGAAATATTAAAATAATAATCTATTCTGCTATACAATATATTGTATTAATCAATTTTCTTATTTCTATATCCTATATTTTTTGAATTTATATATAAAACTTAATGTTTCATTTTGTCTGCTTAAAAACTGGTACCCTCAAAACAAGTTAATATCAGTGTTTTATTTAATAAAGATAACAATATTAAATACTGAAATTTACACGTTATAATGCTCATATAAGCATATCCTTATATATTTTGATATATAATCTAATGTATATTACTCATATAAATATATCCTGATAATTTCTAAAATATAGCAATATTATTTTGAAAAACATTGACATTCATAATAAAATCTGTCGCAATGCCCACGTGTTTGTTTGCGCGCGTGTGTACTTATGTGTCAGAATAGAAAGAAAGGATTATATAATAATTTATACATGTCGACATACAATGTTGTGCATTTGTGTTGAGAACAACGTATACGTATGAAAAAAATTGCCTACTTTCTTCAAAAATTTTATCGATATAACTTTAATCTACCACTGAATCTATTTTAAAATACAAATTGCATTTCCTCCTTTTTTCATTCTTTCTTTTTCTTTCTTTCTCACTCACTCACTCGCTCTCTCTCTTTCTCTCTCTTTCTCTCTCTATGTCTGTCTATCTCCCTCTCTATGTCTATCTCCTCTCTCTGCTTCATACTTTTCTCAGTCAACTTTACTCTCTGCTCATCATACTTTTTTTTCTGTCGTTTTCTTTTTATTTCACTTTTCAGTCATTGTTTTAATTCACATGATTGACTTCTTTCCATTTCTCTTTACCCTCTTTTTCTCTATCTCCCACTCATTTCTATTTTTTATTCTTTATTCCTTTCTATTTTACCACTTTTTCTTTCGCTCTCAGTTTTTTTCTCTCTTTCTCTTGTTTTTAAAAAGTAATTTCTTTTCTTTTCTTTTCCGTATCTTCCTTTCGTTTTTCTACACACTCTCCCTCTCTATCTATATATCTATTTTTCCTCTCTTCATTCGCACTCAATTTGACTCTTATTCTTGTTATTCATTTCCATTTTCAAAGGTGTTGCATAATTTTTTTTAAAGTTACCTTTTTTATATTAAACATTACAATTACTTCCATTCAAACAGACGCACACAAGCCATCATTTCTTCTCCCAAATGAAATTGAAATTTTTATTTGCTTCTAAAATTCTTGACATTACATTGTTTATAAAATAGACAAAAGTTGGCTTGGACGTTTCCAAAAAATAGAAAACAAATGCATATTGTACTCTAACGTTATGATAAGATAAAGAACAAATAGGAAACGTTTATCAGCCTAGCATGTTTCACTTTTATTAAAGCTTCATTAGAGAATGAGATATGGAGAAAAGGAAGAAATACATTCTAGTATTTTTACTTTTGCTGGTTTGATTTTCGTTGGTTAATCAGGTTTCACGTGCATTCGTCTTGTTAAACACAAACGTTAATATAATTTATGACGTTACGAATTCAGACAGAGACGTCACGTCCCGTTGTAGTTCCAAGAAATGAACGGATTCCACGCCTAACTAAAAAACCGCAAATATTGCTTTATAATAGTTCTAGTTTGTCTATGCGGATTCAGATGAGAATGTATATTCGTAAGTGTGTGCGTGTGTCTAGTAGTAGTAGTAGTAGTAGACATTATGTTTGGTGGTTTTTCGCATGTTGATTTTGGAAGATTTTTATGTGCATACCGTTTTTTTTTTAAAACATACGTTAGATTCTTTAAAATGGATTCAGTAAAGGTTGGAGATATAATATAATTTGTTTTGACGTGTGTTTATAGTTGTTAATATAGTTATTAGTAATCTCTCGAAATACTTTCGACGTAAATTATGTCCATTTTTAATTAGGGTCTATTAACTTTAACCCAAACACTAAAGCGCATAAAATATATATGTTCCAGTTGAGGTATGGGTGAACTTAATTCTCAATAGGCGTTCAAATCAAGGAGGCTACTTACTTTGAACGCTTATTGGGACTCAAGTTCATCCCAGAACTCAAGTGAAACTCATATATACGATCCATCGCTAAAAATTCTGTAACAATGACCGGTTACTTGCACCGCTCCAGAAAATACCCGATTCCTCCTCTCTTTACAAGAGTTAGAACAGACTAAAATTTGTGTACCTCTGTCCTATATAGTCTGGAACTGCCCATTCCTCACTTTCCAATTCCCCCTACACACACACACACACGCACACAAAACATCGCAGACCTCTTGCTGTTCTATCGATATTTCCATGGCGAATGTTCTGACAAGCTACATTCCTTAGTTCCACCAGTTCAGACCTTCACATTAGCTGTGAAGGTCTGAGCAACTTGCAATGCCGCATACACTGGTACGAATGATCTCTATCCCCTTCTTGTCTAGTCTTGTAACGGCATTCACCTGGGGTGGGTTGAGCCGGCTCCAATTGAATTAACCGCATCGCGCGTCAAGGCAATCCACCCCCGTCGATCGGCAGCAGAATCGACGGCATGATCGATCCATTCGCGATTCCAGCGTCGGACCCCGTAAACGAGAGGACCGGACATGAGTTCCATATCTGCTTTTACCGTTGTGAGCCACGTCTTGAGTTGACCACCTCGGCGCTTCCTCCAACCAGTGGGTGCGTTTGACGCCACCAGTTTACGGACGAACTCATCACCAGGCCGCCGCAGCACGTGGCCGAACCACCGGAGTCTCCTGTTAAGCAGAGTTTCTTCCAGGCACAGAATGTTGCATCTGGCGCGAATGGACGAGTTGGGGATCCGGTCGGAGAGGCGCACGCGCAGGATACAGCGGAGGCAGTAGTGATCGAAGACCTCAAGCTTATGAAGATCCTCTCTGCGCAGTGGCCAGGTCTCACAACCATAGAGTAGAATTGTTCTGGCCATGGCTTCGTAGATCGTCTTATCTCCTGGCGAGACCAAAGTCGTTTTTGAAGACGGACAAAGGCAGCTCTAGCCAAATTTATACGGGTGGTGATTTCGTCCTTCGCTTGACCAGTGGCTGTAAAACTGGATATTTGAAGTTTTCGACCTATTCCACAGCTTCACCATCGAGGGTTACAGCCACTCGATCAGGTAGGGGGTAGTTCGCAGAGAGAATTTTCGTCTTGGAAGCGTTAATTTTCATCCCCATCATTTTGGTCATGCGACTGACCTCGTCGAGTGCAAGCTGGACCTCCGCATAGGATTCGCCAAGGATTGCAACGTCGTCGGCATAATCGAGATCGGTGATGGAGAAGTCGTGGCCAACTATAACACCCGCGAGGCCAACCATGCTATTCTCTTCGTATCCCCTTCGTATCCCAGTGATAAAAAGGAAGTTCCACTCGGACAGCTTCTTCCCAAGAACCACGCCATTGTAGAACAGACTCCCAAGAGTATGCTTACCCCGATAACTACAATCTTAATCTCTAGGGTTAACCGTTATATTCTCGCTAAACTGATAATCTTACCTCTTCCACTTACAATCGTACAACAACCTAATTCAGTAGCCCTCTACCTCGAGTGTTTCTTGGACCTTGTATTGGGTAAAAATTAATGAAAATTATTTTCCTCAAATAATCAAATCTTTCTTTTTATTTTTTACTTGGTGTTAAATGAAATTGTCTTGGATGTTCAGCATTTTCTCCGGAAATACATTATGTGTTCTTAAACTTTCTATGACTTTCTTATTTTCTTTACTATTTTTTACAAAATGCAATCCGATTATGTTATTCTTAATATTTTATAGCTTCTCAGTTTAAGCCTATATTCTGACTTCTTTTCATATTTTCCTCTATTGATATAATCAGATTTTTTGATGATCACATGTATTTTTAGTTTGGTACAGTATGTTGCTTTCGCTCTTATCCTCGCGCGCATTCCACTAACATTCACATTTCTATTCTTTACTGGTCAATTTTCTTATTTATCTTCCTTTTCTATTCATCCTGCCAACGTTTTCTCTTTTCTTGGCTAGAAGTTCGACTCCTTGAATTTGCAATTATTTCTTCATTTTCTGGTCAATTCATTAGAAATTTAATTTTTTCACTGTTATCAATTTCTGTTTCATAATCATCATCATCATCCAGAAATATTCATCATCATCCAGAAATAATCATTATTATCCAGAAATCATCATTATCATCCAGAAATCATCATCATCATTGCAAGTTTTGTCTTATCTGATACATATCCAAGATTTAAGAGTATCGAACGTGTTTTGCGACATTTCAATCGGTTGAGACGAACTTAATCTTTTCTCAACTGTTCAATTTACTTTAATAAAAAACAACATTTAACCAAATTTTTAAAACAATTCAAAGAATAAAATTCTTTTGTTTAATAAAGTATCTTGTATTCATATATAATTTGGCTAGATAACTGGCAGGTCTCATTTTAAACCTAAAGAGGCACAAACAAAAGTAATATTTCCGTTACTTTTCTAATTATTGCACAACACAATACCATTTTGGGGCGTTATACAAAGAGAATAGCGTCCATCTTCATCGATTAATGTAACTACCATTATCATAAATGATCGATGATTTAAAGAACTGAACACAAATAACATGCTCCTTTGCTTCCACTTTTCCAAAGCTGGGGAGTAAACCGTCCCTTTAAGAAGCGAGCGGAAAAGCTATATTTCGAATATATCTTTCCAACCCCATTACTTGAGCACCAGTGAATAATAATAATACAGTTTTTATGGGAGCATGAAGTTGGGGTTACATAAAACATTTTTAATGCATCCTTATTCTCTATTAACTCTATTAAGTAAAAACAAGTATAAATGAAAAGGACTAGTTGATCAAAGGGGATGTGTATTCTTACTTAATGATCAAATCCAACAATTACCAAAGAAACTGTCACTAACATTAATACTACTCATAGAAAAACAGTGACTACTATTCATTGTATCATTCCAGTTCACATTTGATGTAATGATAACTAGCACCGATTAGAAAAACCTACCGATTCTTTATTTTGTCCATCTCCTCTACGATGATACTCTTCTTCCTCTCCCCACATCGTAATTCAAATACCTACCCGTGAGTCTCTTCTCATTCACACAAACATAACGATCGGGGCAAAAAGTGTTAGCTAATGCCCAACACACAAACACATGCATCTACAAAGGAAATTATGAAAATCAATGAAATGTTGATATACTTCTACAAACGCTGATACGTGCTTATTTGTCTCTGTTTGCAGAGTTTCTGTATGCATTTTAATATTTCATTTTCAGCCGGTCCGGCGAATTCTTATTTAAATTTAGAATGGTAATTTTTTAAATTTTCAATTTACGTCTCCATTTTCAATCCCTTTAGGAAAATATTTTCAACTTAAGAAAGTTCAGAATTAAAAAAATGTAGGGATATGTCTACCGCCGTTACTTTCACAAATTATTCCTAATGAACTCAGTCTTTACGCTATTACTCAATGTCATCACACAGTGGACTAACACAAAGCACGTTTGATCAGGACTTCATATCCTACCGAATATACGTTTAAGCATGTTTCTATCTACACTGTTAGCGACAATATGCGGTAGAATGTCTTACTTATCAAAGAGTTCTCATATCTCTGAATGAGTTCATTGCTTTTTCGGAAACCAAACACTAACATTGCTACCGCCGAAGCATAACGCGATATTTTAATAAGAAGTGGGAAAATTCTAGCATAAACAATATACCATAGCCAAAATCATTGCTGTCCATTTTATTTTCTTAGGCACAACGTATAACAAAAATATAAACACCGAAAAATTTAGACAATGATCGGCAAATGTAACAACATAACTTGCACTGAAGACACTGTTATCAAATTTAGAAAATTTGGAAAACTAGAAAAATATTAAACAAGATATTTAATGAAAACCAGGAGAAATGCATGACTGTAAGCAAAAGGAATAACCCAAAAGGCAAATTAGACGCTGGGGACGTCAGAATAAGGCTTGTGCAGAATTTCAATTATCTAAGCAGAGTAACATCAAAGGTGCATAGGAAAAGTTGGGGTTTTTTTCAGACGCTAAGTAATATATTAAGTGACTGGAGAAAAACATTAGAAATGAAGGAAATTATTCTTATATGCCATATATTTTCTAGCCTCATGTATGATAGTAAATGTTGGACAATTTAATCAGAAATAAAGACAAGGTGTGAAGCTATCAAGATATTTTTCTCCTGATGAGTGCTGACATGGACAAAGATCGGATAAATTTGGAAGTTTTAAGAATATAAGCTACAAAGAAACTTGCTAACAATCAGAAAAAGACAACTGAAATTTTGGTACACATAAAGAAAAACGAATGCTTGAAGAAAATAACACTCACATGACATAGAATGGAAGAGAAGCAACGAAAAACATCTTGAAATTGGGCAAAAGGATGAATTAACTGTTTTAAAATACACCCCTACCCACCCTAAATTTAACCTCTTTTTCGAACGTAACTCATAATTGATACAACAATAGTTAATAAAAATGAACACGCTACCGCCCCTGTCTAAATGATTGGATTTCTCTGTATCCTTGGAAACAGGAAATTATGAATTTATATGTGCGTTTCAAACTCAGTAAATTTAAAAATAAGTTATTCCAATATTCGCTTGAAGATGAAACGGAACTAATGCTTTTAATTTAATTATATAATTAAATTTGAAGTTTTTGAAACATGGTTATTACTGTGTAGCGAAAAAAAACATATTTTAAATCAGTTAATTCATAATATTTATGCTCTGTAAATTTACATTGTGCAAAAATAAAATAAAAAATATCAATAAGAACACCGGATTATATATCTTACTGTTCTTTATTTATATATATATATATATATATATATATATATATATATATATATATATATATATATATATATATATATATATATATATGTGTGTGTGTGTGTGTGTGTGTGTGTGTGTAGACTTGTGTGTATATTCACATTACATTCACAGGCACACACACATATATGTAGATAACTATAGATTGTGCATGTAGCATATAAAATTTGAAAACTTATGCTATTTCTTCTGAAATTGTTTCATTGACCAAACATTACGAATTTATAACGTATATAGTTGCTTGAAATGAAAATCAGTTATTTTCTTTCCATACTGATAGCAGACACGGAAAAGAAACTACAAAACCTCCTACAGAAGGTAGCGAGGGAGAGCAAGAAGAAGGGACTAATCATAAACTACAAGAAGACAGAATGCGTGATCATCAGTAAACGGATGAACCCGAAATGCGATTTGCAGGTCGGAACACTAAAATCAAGCATATGCGGAAGTTTAAATATCTGCGAACCCTAGGTTCGGTAGGTACGACGCTGAGATCCGAAGACGGATTGGGATGGCCAAGGATGCATTCCAAAAGCTGGGCAGAGTACTGCGAGACAGGAGGATTTCTTTGTTGACAAAGAAAAGAGTATTGAGCTGCTACATGATATCTGTCCTCCTATACGGCGGCGAATATTGGACGGTCTCCTCAAAGATAAAGAAGAGACTCGAGACAACGGAGATGTGGGTCTACAGAAGGATGCTAAGGATATCATGGAGCGAGCTTGTGAGCAATGATTAAGTCTTGGAAAGGATGAAAACAAGGAGGAAGCTTATACTTAACATAAGGAAGAAGCAGATGAAATTTCTGGGACACAATGACAAAGGAGGGCCTGGATAATCTGATAGTCACAGGTCAAATAGAGGGGGAAAAAGACAAAGAAAGTAGCGCATTACATACATTGCGGGCTTGGGCAAGTGGATGGCAGAACCTGATCTAGGGGAGTTGTCAGAGGAACGAAGCTTATTGATGGCTACAGAAAATAGGGGGAAGTGGAGGGCCATGATCGCCTACGTCTTGAAAGTATACGGCACATAAAAAGAAAGAATTTCTTTCCATTTTAAATCAAGTTGGAAATGCATTAATCACCTCATATTTTCCTCTTCTATTTTCACCATTTTTTTAATGTTAATATTTGTATTTTTCCTCTTTATTTTCTCGGTTTTTCTTTTGTTTCCTGTCATTTTCTATTTACAAGTTTCATTTTTTTTCTTCACCATTTCCTACAACATTCAATAAATGTCTTTCGTTCGCTCTCTTTCTGCTGTCTTGGCTTTCTCCCTATTAAGTATAAATCAAATGAAAATGTGCAGGAGCATTTGCCGCTTCCAGTGAGTGTCAGGGTACAACCACTCCACTTAGGATCTAATACAAAAAGCTCTGCTTCCCCTTTGCAGATCATAATTTATGGAGTTTGATCAGCCAATTTGACAAAATTATTCAAATAATCACGAAGTTCAATGTTTGTGACAGTTCAAATCCGAAATGGTAAAAAGAAGCAGATTGTATTACCAAAACACAATACTTGCTTTCCATTTTTTCACCTACCCTGCAATATTTACTGAATTCCTTTCTTTCAGTGTTTTTCTTTGTGTTTGTTTTCTTTTGATTTTTCCCGCCTTCAATTCAATATTTGTTGAACGTTTTTCGTTCTCTCATTCTTGATTTTTGGTAAACTTTCAGGAATTTAGTTTTGTTAGAATTGCTTCGATTGTAAACGTTATTTTTTTTGTTTTCACGCATAGGATGCATTGTTTCTTTTTATTCTATCACTTCTCTGTTTATCCCCCTCTCATCCCTCGCTCTTTACTCTCCCACTTCTCTACCTTTCTTTTTCTTCGTTTCTGTTTATCTTACCCTCACTTTCCTTCTACTTCTTTGTTTATTTATCTCTCTTTTCGTTTATTTCTATTGTTATCGACCCTCTCTTTCTCTCTCTCTCTCTCTATCTATCTATCTATTTATCTATCTATTTCTTTATCTATCTATTGTTTCTTTCGCTCGCTTTGCGTTCTGCATTCTTTTTTGTATTTCTTTCTTTTATTTTTCTCCTTTCTCTAATTTCTATCTTTGCTCTGTTTTCCTGTTTTCATTCTTCTCTCATTTCTTTATATCTCCTTTGTCTTTCTTTAATTTCTTGCTTAGTTCTCTCTCTTTAACTCATCCCATTTCTCTCTTTCTTTCTCTCTCTCTCTCTCTCTCTCTCTCTCTCTCTCTCTCACTTTGCATTTCTATTTTACGCGCTCACCAGGATTTAGAGCAAAAGACAGAGACAGACGGACAAGCAAGCAAACAAGACAAATGGGCAAGTATCTTTTTCAAAAGAATAACTTCCTTTTTTTCGTTAATTTATTTTTATTCTTATCACTTGTCTTACATCGTGTCTTGTAAAAAATTATACTTTTTTATTATTTTTGTTGTCCTCAATGTATAATCATCCAAAATTGGAACAAGTTTGCTACACGCATTTCAAATCCTTTTCACAAATCAACCAACTTTATCTTTCATTCGTCATTTTCTTCTTTTGTGTACAAAGAAAATTACGCATTTTTCTCTTATTTTTTATTGCTGGCATTTTGCTTTTTTTCCGTTTTTATCCTTTGCACGTTTATAATTTCTACTTTCAACTCTGTTGACAAAATGAGCAAAATTTTAATTTTAAAATAGATATTTTTCTTCGGTTTTCTTTTTTCTTTATTGTCCGCCTTGAAAATTTTCCACTTTCAAGCTGTCAAGCATTGTGATAATGCAAATTGGAATCCATTATTCCAAAAGGCACCAAACAGCAAAATACATAATGCAGCTGTAACGCACCGATTCCTATTTCATTCTACATACTATTGTAAGTGTTTATTGGTATCGTGAAAAATCTATATTTACTTTATGTCCTGTAAAATCTTATTTCTTTCGGAATCTTAGTTTCCAAGAAGAGCTATGGGGATCTCTCTCAATGTCACAGATGAAAAAATATCTCCAAGATACAGATTTTTTGAAGAACTTTCTACTTAAAAACAATGCCCCTTGCTTAGATTTCTCATTTCTTAAATGTTAATAGATTCAAAAACTTTACGCTTTGTGTTTGCTTCTTTACTTTTCATTGTACATATAATCGGTAAACATAATTGTTTTCAAAGTTAAATCAATTCTGGAGTGATGCTGAAATTATGGAAGGAAGGAAAGAAAATAAGAACGAAGCAAAGGAGAAAGGAATAAAAAAAATGTATTAAGGAAAACTTCCTATTTATAAAAATATTCCACGGTTAGTGACTTTTGGGGAGCATCCATCCAAAATATCTTTAGTACAATTACCAAAAAAGAAAATTTCGTATTCATATGAAGTTGCTTGCTCGTACTTTTCATGAAATGAAAAATGTTCCCGATTATTATTGTTATTAGAGTTTAGCAATGCGCAGTGTTTTCGCAGTTGAGATTGTTGAATAAAGCAGATTTAAGCCAAGAATTTATTTCAATTTATCTTTCCAAAACATCTATACCGCTCATATTTTTCTCAGACAGATACTACTGAATGGCAATTGTTAATGAGATTCAATTTTTTTAATTGATCTAGAATCGAAAATCCCAGCAACCGCACACCTGTTATCAAGCGGCAAATTTTCTCCAGTTTTAACGAAAAGCGAATTTTTTTTCGTTAAAATTTAAAATAAAAGAAAAATCATATCCAAAGAATCTATTGAATCAATTCAGAATTATACATAAAATATCTCATTCTAAATCTATTAACCATTTTAAACATAAGCAAGAGTATTTTATTGTTTATAATTTATTTTACTGTACATTTAATTCAACAAATTTTCATTTTTAATTTGGTATCAATTTTTCAACTAAATATTTGAAATTTTATTTATATAATGCTTATCAAATTATTGTTAGTTGTCCTTTTTTTTTGTTGCATGTTGTTTCTTTTTTGTTTTCTACCAAATGTTCGTACGTATGTATTAAATATACCTTCGTCTTCAACTATTTATTTTGCTTAATATCCTTGTTTTTCTCATCTTTTATCTTATTTTACTTTCTAATTTTGAACATCTCTGGCCAACATTATTATCTACTCGTTCTCTGTTGATTTCGACATTTGTCCAACAAAGCGTTTCTCTCTCTCTCTCTCTCTCTCTCTCTCTCTCTCTCTCTCTCTCTCTCTCTCTCTCTCTCTATCAATCTATCTGAATTGGTCAAAGCATTGTTTCATAGGATAGGCTGACTTTCTTTCCTCATATGGTTAGCAATAGCAGTGTCTGATTTAATGAATTCTAGATAGAAAAAGATTTAATAAAACGAATTTGAATGCTTATAACAATGAAAAGGGGAAAAATGTGGTTGTCTAGGCAGACAAACATACATACAGTGTGAGTGAGTGCCATGCTTCAGTTCATTCGACCATCTAAGTATATGCTTATTCCATAGTTCAAGTATAAAAGTACAATATATTGATTATACACTTAAGTACGCTTCTCTTACTCGTATGCACACACATAGCCAGGCACAAGGACATGTGGTTTACCAGACTAGAATATTATCACACGTAGATATGACAGCTGACGCACTCTAAAAATGGTCAGTTATTCTAATAACGTTACAATATGAATAGGCCAACAACGCATCCGTGCTGAACTTTATATGCACTCTTTGAAATAATATTCACACTAATATAAATATTGTCAACATGGATAGAGACCTGCGTTTACATATCAATACATTTAGGAATATAGTCTTTATTACATCTTAAAGAAATCGTCAATTGCGAGGCAAAACAGATTTTAAAACAGTTAACCATTGTAAAACATTATATTTAGGAAGAATGTTTTTCGTGGAGTTGACTGTAATTTAATTTTTTTGTTTGTATTTTTTTGTATTGGGATGGTTCTTTTGGTATTTTTTCATTCACTATAAGGGAAAGTATTATAAAAGTCTGAAAACTTTCACTAGTACTATGGGAAAATGTTAAATGAGAGATGCATGATCTATACTTGAAAATGTTTGGTGGATCATATTACTATCGAGGTTTTGGTCATAAAATGCAAAAAACAAGGTTTTATGGTCAATTCCAGGTACGTCTACGATTGCTCAACAAAATGTTTATCTCTTCTTTGAAAATAACTGTTACTAATTCAAGCTTTAATCATGTATACCTGGCGTAATTATTTTCTGCCTCGTGATTTGATTAACTCAAAGTTTATCTTTCAAAATGTTTTCTATCAATTGCAAAAGCATTTTTTACTACATTTGATCGTCAACAAATCAAGCCAACGTTTCACTATCCATTTTTGTTCAGTTCTTCATAATTTATTAGGTTTCTTATTAGCACGTTCAGCTTTTAGTTCCTTTGATATCTCCTTCGGATTTTTCTTCCCATCTCTACTAACTTAAGACTCAAGATTTACTCCTCCGACCCAATAATGTGTGCGTGTGTTTATGTGTGTGTTTGTGTGTGTGTTTATGTGTGTGTGTGTGTGTGTGTGTGTGTGTGTGTGTGTGTGTGTGTGTGTGTGTGTGTGTGTGTGTGTGTGTGTGCGCGTGAATGTGCATATCATGTATGCGCTCGTCTCTGTAAGAATGTAATTCAGGAGAAAATATGACGTGGAATTTGAAAATTTTCTTCACGAAAGCTTGATTTCCTAACGGAAGAGTGTTTGTCCCAGCAATTCATTTTTTCCATTCCGAACGAATAGTATTACAAGTTTAATTTTCCTCTGCGTTTATGGTGATTTTACGGCCGTCAATTTTATTCCTATTCGCACAATGTTGGCTTTACAAAATGAAGAGTGAGAGCAATGACCCTCCCACCCTCAAAATATTGATATTCACTTCAATGCTTAAATCAAAGAAGGAAACTTAAACAATCTAAAATGTTCTTAATCTGAACCCAAAGATTAAAAACGTTGAATCATATTTGATAGTTTTTCTCTTTACGTTTCTTGCATACATTGCTTTTTGTTTTTATTAATCCGCATCATCAACTGACCAGCCCTAACAAACCACACGACTCCTCACCAACCATCTTCCCTCGTGTGAGACAACAAATAAAGAATCTGTAAACTTGGAATTGTAAAGCTCATCCTTTTTACAAGGAGAATAAGCTACCATTGTTTCTACTGGGAGTGAAAACAAAGCCAACATTTTGTCTGTAGCGAGGGAAAATCCATCAACTCATTTCGGGCGTCACATTTGTATTTCTTACTTGTTTTTCTTCGTTTTCTTTTTGTCTGCTTGTTTGTTTGTTTTTTTATTTTGTATTGTTTGTTTTTGGTGGAGTGCTTTTTTTATATTTCTAAATTTAGTTTTCTTACATAGATTTTTTTTGTCTGTGTATTTAACTCCAAAAAGGGCGTTTGCTCACACAGATATATATATATATATATATATATATATATATATATATATATATATATATATATGCCAATATAAGTAGATAGAAAAGAAAGAATTTATATAAATTATATTTATATTCAAGAATAAAAAACTGATATTTTTGTGAATATATGAACATGTTTGACCCTATCTTCTTATACATGCCTTTGGTTATGATGAAGGCGTCATGTTTGCAGTAACACCATTGAAATCGTTGCATCTAAACTGTTTCAAAGGATTTATCTGTAAAGATTGACGTGTGCAGTTATGTATGGGCCTTGGTATATCTAGCTGAACGCATTTGCATGACACCTGCATGCGTTTTTCTGTGCACGGTGAGAATTCGAAGTGGTTAAACTCTTCAACTATGAAATTCAATTGTTAGAGTGCAACGAACATTGCTGGGCATGCGTTTCTGGTCGCTGTTGATTGAAGAAGCGCAATTACAACCCGATTTTGTCAGAAATGCGATTTTATTTGTGTGCGTAACAGAAACAGCAACAGAAAAATTCAGCTATTTTCTCAAAAAGAATAGTCGAGTCTTTTCAAATGTCGCAGATGAAAATGCCTGGTGTTGAGTTAGAATCTTATAGTCATATGTAATTGTTTAAAAACTGAAAGATTTACTTTCACAATTATTCACCGAACAAAAATAAAAATTACTCAATTTATTATTTATTTAATTATTATTTTATTTCATCTATTGTTTTTGATGGTTGAAGCAGAAGTAAGAAAGCCTTTAACAATTCACTGACCGCTTTTTCATTCTTCTTCGAATATGTATTCTACATATAGAAATAGATAGAGGTGACTGTATATGTTTATGTGTTATGTGGTTGGTAGTCGGTTTGTGAACTGAAAATATTCGTTTCTCTCTGGCCTCTCAGGTCATCCTTCCCCCTTTCTCTTATGTTCCTCTTCTACCTTCTCTCTTGTTCCTCCTCTCCTATTTTTACTTCTCTTCCTCCTCTAGTTTTACTTCTTTCCATCTCTCCTTTCTTTATCTTGTTTCTCTTCCTCCTTCACTATTTCTTCTCTGTTCATCTTCCCTCTATTTTTTCTGCTCCTTCTTTCCTAGTTTTCTTCTGGTTTACCTTTTTTATCTTTATGCTCAAGTTAAAGAACGCACCAATTCAATTATTTCATTCGTTTCCATTTTCTTACAAGTGCAGTGGTTATTGCTATAGATTGGCGGAGAGCATTTCTTAAAACCTTTTGTTTTAATCCAATTATTGCCCCCAAAAGATAACACTGATACGTAAAAACAGAAAAGGGGCCGCCTTCAGGAAAGCTCAGAATAATATTAATTTTTTTAATAAACTCTTTTATCTCGTATTAAATTAAACTAATTGAAAATTACAAAGAAATTTATATGAAATATTTGATTTATTTTGTCGAATGCACACAAATTTTGAGTTGGTGTGTTTTGGCAAGAACCTATGAAAAAAATTAATAAAATATTTTGAAGTAAAAATGATTAAAAGTAATAATTAATTTTTATTTTCAGGCCGAGCAATTAAACGAAGAACAAATCGCAGGTAAGATTTTTGTTGATCTACTTTATGTTTCTTTATCAAATAATCTGCGTGGTACAAACTTATAAAAGCGTCAAGAAAGAGAATTAGAAAAATATTTTACAACTGAAACGAACATAGAATTGGCAAACATGTTTATTCATGCTTAAAACTATGAGATAACAAATTTCATTAACAAAATGTATACCACGATGTCTCATCATGGCCTATAGATATTGGCATTGAAACAGTTAAAACCTGTTTTCCACAGAAAACCTAATATGTTAGCAGATGTCAGGTATTATGTGTTAATGTAACAGCTATTGAGCAGTCTCTTCATAGCTTATTCTTAATATAAAATACTTCGATTCATTATTCTGTGCCAAAATGCCAATATCTATAGGTCATGATGAGACATCGTTACACAAGTCACTGTTACTGCTTTTTGTTTGCATCATTATTAGAAATCTAGTTATATTTTATAATTCCACATTATTCAGGAAAGTATGTCAAAAAACAAGTAAAATTTATGCAAATTTTAAATTCATATATGCTCACATTTATTAGATAGATAGATAGATAGATAGATAGATAGATAGATAGATAGATAGATAGATAGATAGATAGATAGATGTAATCTGGTCAAATTAGTATTTGTACATGCGTGTTCAGATTATATCTGACGATGTCTGACGGCACAACGTTAGTCATTTTATTCTTGCAATTTAAGCTTTCGCTTGGATTAAAGTTACGTCTTCTGTCCGTAAAATGATGTTGTTCGTCTTATGTTACTTTCTATTCGTTGAAGAGTCTTATATTGGATCTGATTGATTATCGATCAGCGCAAACGGATGAAAAGTCCTTTGATTGGAATTAGAACGATGTTTGTTGCCAGTAAAGACGGAATGGAGCCCAGTTAATCGGTTTCTGTTTCCATTGGAGATAAAAGTCACCGTTTTGAAGTCGACATTTATTTAAACCAATCACGATGCAAGAGTAACGGATTAGGGTCACTTTTTCTTTTCTTTTCTTTTCTTCTTAACAAGAGATACAGCGCTCAAATGACTCTTCTTGTCACCTTTTCCTTCAACAACGCAATAGAGAAGCGAATTAAATAAAAAAATTGAATTAAAAATATTGACTCTTTCATTATTGCTGTTCATGATTAGAAAATTGTAATTTTGTTTATTTTAAGTTGAATTTCCATCTGCCATTTGACGTAAATGATTTGCTCCTTGATGGATGGGATTCTTTTTGGATTTGCCTTGGTCGAATGACTTCTTTTTTAAAGCAAGTGAAACTGTTGAATATTCGTCGGAACAAGACTTCTTTTTAATAATCCAAAAAGAAAATACTATTTGGTGCGAATATCTCTGACATGATAGAGAGGAGTTCAGTATGGCGTGACTAACTGCTGTTTCAGACGAGGCTGTTTTCTGTTTCGAATTTCATTCCTTCCAAGGGATAGCTTAATCACTCCTCCGTTTCATTTAGATGCCTGTATGACTGTTCCAATTGTAAAACATTTCATATTACCTTTTTGAAATTAGATAAATCGCAATAAAAGTAACATTAAAATATTAAATAGAGCCATTTTATATTATGAATACACAGACTCGCACAAGCATACACGCACACACACGTACACACGCGCGCGTAGATCAGCCTTACACGCAGAAGTATTTTCTATCTACAATGTTGCAGCCATTCCTACACTCACGTTTGACAAAAGACTTGATAATAATTCCTGTGTTCATTAAAATCAATACAATACTGGTTTGCTGTAAACTATGACATCAATTTAATTAGAGCTGACTTCCACTATGTGTGTGATAAGAAATCTAAGGAGAAATTAGTATAAAAACGATACCCCAATGCTTTGAAATATCCTTCTTAAATTAGGGTGTCCTGAAAAGTTCACAAGGCTCATCAAATGACAACATGAAGCTTTGAGTCTGTGTCAATGGTGACCAATTAGAACCCATTTCTCTTGAGTCTGGTATTAAGCAATGTGATCTTCTGATTCTTATTCTATTCACAATCTTCTTTGCAATTATAATCTTGCAGCCATTTGTTCATAGCGATGCCGATATCTATATCTGTTAAATCTGATGTTATCCCTAAAATATTTGTTTGAAGGTTATGGGTCTTGGGAATGGTCTTACTTGCTCATGAGTCAACTTCTACCATGTATGTGTGTAATTGAGTGTACTGGAATCCAATGGCGGTCTGAGGTTTGTGTGTGTGTGTGTGTGTGTGTGTGTGTGTGTGTGTGTGTGTGTGTGTGTGTGTGTGTGTGTGTGTGTGTGTGTGTGTGTGTGTGTACTGACCTACTGTTGTAGAAAAATGTCGTTCCATTCTACCGCTATGTCCTAATAAATGATTCCAGAAGTTTTTCTTTTCTATTGATTTTATTGTTTATTTATTTTCTAATTGTGTTATTCTTTCTTTTTATATTTGATATTTTTCAACTTGCATTCTATTTTTGTCGACAAGACGCACTTCATTCGCCTTTATTCTCCTCTTTCTTTCATTAATCGTCTTTACTCCTCTTCTATGTGTAAAAACTGCATTTTTTCTGTTCGTCACTGTCACAGAAATGGCTATTTACTACGACTTCCCTTCGCTTGACGTGACCTGACTTTCTACTCTCGTTTCCTCAGCTTGTCTCTATGCGATCATTCGACTTCAACTAACTTTTCGGATTCAGCATGTAAATATTTTTCCTTACTCTAAACTCTGCTACTTTTTTCTCAGATTTCATTTATCTTCCCGCTTTCTGATTCTCATTCTTATTCTTTGGAATATTATTTCTTTTTTTTTTCCTATTTTATAGAGTTATTTTGCGGGTCGTTTTCAGTTTTCGCTTTTGATCTCTGTCATTAACTTTTCTAATTGTTCTCAAATTGTCGGTTGTTGTATTCCCTCACCATTCAAATCTTACTAAAAACATGTACCGTAATCATTAGGAATGGCATTTCGATATTTTGATAAACAAAGAGGGTAACAATGCATTGTATAAATTGTGAAGAGTCATTAACGTCTCCAACATTTATCAAACTTTCAAATCTCTCCTATAGCTACGTAACTTTTTTTTTTCAAACTGAACTCGTAAGACCAATGCTCTAATTATTCTCTTTCTATCATTATTAACTGAAATCTTCCTGGGGAGAGGCTCTACTTTCTTTCTTCATAAGATTTTTCAAGATTATATTTTAAACTTTTTAAAATGTTAATAGTATTTTCACCATCACTACAGCTCGACTTGCACATTGTAGAATGATAATAGGTTGTCTATTGAGAAGGATTTTACTTCTGAGCTTCAATTTTGGGTATATGAAAATTCCTATTTGCACTATTTACATTTCTTTGTTGTTGTTATCACGTTTTCTCCCTTCGGCTTTCATCAGGTGTATATCGATCTGGTAACATACAGTGAAATCTAACCTGAACCCTTTGTTTAATTTAGTGGGGGGTAGACTTTTCTCATTCCACTTCCCATGTCTAGGGATATCGTCTATCGTTTATTTTTAGTATTGCTCAGTTATTGCTCGCCCGTTTCCACTGAGTCCAAGTAGATACTGCCCGGCCCAGGGATTGAACTCGCAATTACTATGTCACCCAAGTCACTGTATAGTGTATATGAGAGAAATATGAAAGAAACATTTTTTGTACAAAGTTGACATTTTTCCACTTTGTTGATCCGTATGTAGAGATTTATTTTTCATTTTGCAATGGGCTACCTTACAGCATTGAGACATTTGTCAACTAGATGGTAGTATGTAAGTCTTTAATATCTAAACTCGACATGATTTTATTTTTCTTATTAATATTGTTTAATCTGTTGACGTGTTCGTCAGAATTTGTCAGGCATGAAAGACTGTTCATAAAAGAGGTGTTAACATTTTAACTAAGGTTTTTTCTATTAGTGAGTAGTGTTAACTATATGAAAGATAATAGATCGCATTGAAATGTTGGTTTTGTCTGGTTTTGTAAGTGATAGTCTAGGTATTTTTAAATAGTATTCTATTAATTTTGGACATGTTTTGCATTCATTTTCTCTTCAATTTTTTACATTTTTGAACGATTTGTGGAATTTTTTTTTTTAGATTTAATGTTCTAATTATTTTCATAAATATTAGTATCATCTAATATATGTCCTATTTTAACGTTGTGAGTACTAGCATCTATAATTAAAATTCCCCCATCTTTATCTGGAGAGTCGATGAATAGATTTTTGTTTTTAGATAGTATTTGTGGTAAATTTATGCTATCTTTTATTATCACCTATCAGGTTGAATCCTTTTTCTTGGGTTGCATTTTCATCATTTCCTCGAGAGTTCTTTTTCTTTTGTCTCATTATTTAGTGTTCAATACATTCATTTTCAGCTTGCGTTGAAAATATTTACCTTTTATATAGGATTAAGTTTTTCATCTAATATTCAGTCTTTTTTATATTTTCATTGAAATTCTTATGTTTTATCTTAAGTACATAGTCTTTCCATATATCGTACGGCTGAATATTTCTAACTTTCATTCAATTCTTAATCTTGACTTTAATAAATTTATATCTTCCAATGGATTTGTAGGCTATTGTTTTTTCAAATGTATTTGAATATATTATAATTTCGTCTTTAGTTTAATTTTTATCCTTTCATCACAAGTAAAATTCTTTTTTAAAGCGAGGGGGTACTTCTTTTCACTCTTTTAGGGTTGATATTTTATTATATCATCTACAATTGCATTCTTTTATTCTTCAATCCAGAGTAGAATTATTTTATCTTTTCATCTAGAGTGAATTGTTTTATCTTTTCATCGAGAGTTGAACTGTTTCATCCTTTCATCTAGAGTTGTATTTTTCATCGTTGAATGAATTCATTTATTTTAAAATCAGGAGTAGAATCCTTTTATCTTTACCTATAAGTTGAATACATTGATCTTCGATTGATTTCTTTTATCAGGGATTGAATTTCATCAAGGGCTAAATTCTTTTATTTCTATATAAGGTTGAATGCTATTTTCAT